GGGGCCTGGGTTCGAACACTCAGCCCGGCCCCGGTGTCGGGTCAGGTAAAGGGAGCTGGAGGTTTAACGGGAGATATCGTAGGCTCATAGAATGGTTTGGGTTGGAAGGGACCTCCCCCCAGCCCAGGTTGCTCCAAGCCCCGTCCAACCTGGCCTTGAACACCTCCAGGGATGGGGCAGCCACAGCGTCTCGGGGCAACCTGCCCCAGGGGATCACCACCCTCACACTCAACAATTTCTTCCCAATATCTCATCTCAATCTCCCCTCTTTCGTTTTAAAACTGTTATCCCTCACCCTATTGCTCCACTCCCTGATAAAGAGCCCCCATATTTCTTGTAGGCCACCTTTAGGTACTGGAAGGGGCTAAAGGTATCCCTGGAACCTTCTCTTCTCCAACCTCAACTCTCTCAGCCTGTCCTCCCAGCAGAGGTGCTTCAGCCCATCTTCATGGCCTCCTCTGGACTTGCTCCAACAGGTCCATGTCCTTCTGATCTTGGGGACTCCAGAGCTGGATGCAATATTCCAGGTGGAATGTCCCGAGAGTGGAGCAGAGGGGCAGAATGCCCCCCCTCCCTGCTCTGCTGGCCATGCTTCTTTTGATGCAGCCCAGGATGCCGGTGGCTTTCTGGGCTGCAGGCACACATTGCTGGCTCACATTGCGCTTCTCATCCGCTGACCCCCCCCCATCCTTCTCCTCAGGGCTGCTCTCCATCCATTCTCGGTGCAGGCTGGATTTGTGCTTGGGATATAGCAGCGTGCTCTAGGACAGGAGTCTTATCTAGAGAGCTCCCAGGCGACAGCAGCAAAAAGTGCAGGGCTGAAACATAACAGCATCCACAGTCCTTGTGAGGAGATGACAGCTCCCCTCGGGAGCCCACTTGGCTTGCAGTGGGGCAGGGGACAGGCTGTTGCTGCAGCCGTTGCTGCATCCTTAGCATGCCAGCTTCAAAAGGGGAAAAAGTGCCTTGCTCTGTTTTTGGGAGGCTGCTTGGCCGCAGTCCTCTCTGCTCTGAGCGAGATCAGCGGTGGGGAGAATTTGAGATGTGCTCTCTCTGCCTTCCAGTGTCTCCCCAGTGAATAGCCTCAGGTTGCTAGCTCCAAGCTGGCTTCATCGTTTACTCATACGGTCTTTTTATCTGTGACAGGTTCTCCTCCTAAAGCCTTTACACATTTTGTCTGGAAGTTGGATTGTAAGTCAAATACTGACTTGGCTGATGTTTGTCTAAATCATACATCTTAAAATGCTGTCACAAAATGGAGACTCGGACAAAGGCCTTGGAGGGAAGGTTACTGCGCAGGAGGTGTTAGAAGAGCCTGTGAATGACACCAGTAACAAAGCTACCCAAACAGAAAATAAAGGCAATTCTGTCAACACAGGTGAGCCCTTCCAGCTGGCATGAATTTAGGGAACTTGATTGAACATAAAGCCTAGAAATCAAGTCTGTCATTACTCATCTAGATGCAAGGTAAGTTTATTCTTTCTCCCACTGAAGCCACTGAAAATCTTGCCGTAACTGAGGCTTACTCAATTGCTATATTCTTGTGCTTTTTTTTTCTGTTTAATTTTCTTCTTGCTGGAGAGATACCTTTTCCTGTGTTGCAATCATACAGCTAGCCTGACCTCTTAATGTTTTAATTACAATCATATTTAAATGGGATGGTACAATCATCTTGTTTGCAATGTTTCTTTTTAAGCATATGGACTACAAATGCAACTAGAAGGTGCAGAGCAAGAATCTGAAAAGAAGAATATTGAAAATGCAATTAATCAAAGGCAGTCTAAAGACAGCTTGAATGAGTATAGCACCGGAGACACCTACCAAAGAGTGCAAAAGGGTAAATATGTAGAGGAGATAGACTAACAAACCGTGCTTGAGATGACTCAGATACACCATTACTGTAATCTCTTTGCATGCAAAGTTAGCCATCTTGTTAAACTGAAATTATTATTAAATATAATATATAGTAGCTGTCTAAGACCATAAGAACATTGGTGCCAGTACTTTATTGTCACTATACATTATAATAATCTCGAGACTAGTGGGTACTACCTGCCTTCCAGATCTAAAAAAAAAAAATAATGCAAATTTCAACAATTTATTTTGCTACTGTTAATTTACTATCTTACGTTCTAAAAAAGTTAAGTTTCCTTTCATTACAAATGTTTGAAAAAATCTTTGTTAGAACACTTATTTTCTTGAAATTCATATTCACTCTTCAATATTTCTCTCAAGTAATTGCCAACATGCCAGTTTTCCCCACCCATGCTGTTAAACTGCAACTTGTTTTCTTACTTACAAAGATGTTAAAACTCAAGAGAAAGCCATCAGCTGTATGTCCAGAGCAGATCGACAGAACGAACAAAAGTCAGAGGGTGATCGCAAATCAGTAACCAGCTCATTCAGTCCAAAGACGGAAGAAAAGAGGGGCTGCGTAAGGTAACACATTGTTTGTGGATGGTTTTTATTTAAATCTTGGCATCATTGAAGTCAATGGGAGTTTTGCTATCCTACATTTAATGTTAATTCAGGAGAATAATTTTGAAGATGAACTTGAGAATAATCAATACATCAGGAACTGGTGGTATTTCCAGCATCTGTACAGCTTTTTTCTTTTTTTTTTATGCCTACAGTAGCAAACTACATTCTAACTACATGATGTAGTCTACTTATTAGATCTGGAGAAAATTGTGCAAACTTGTGGGAGTCTTTTGTCAGTAGATGTGACCATTTCTCAGCATCAGTTCAAACAATGCACTGTATTAATTCATCACAATGTAAATATTGCAGTTGTCAAGATAGCTTTTAGCAGAGGAGACCAAGAGGTACCTCAGATGGTTAGCAATAAGACAGAGCTCCTTTGTAAGCTCTGGCTCTGATTTTGGTCCAGCATAAACCAGCGTATGCTGCAATGGCTGTTCATTAATAGTTATGAAATGGGATTATTCTCGTGTTTCTGTGATTAAGCACATTGTAAGCAAATAATAAAATTAAACCCTATATTTGGTACTATTTAATAACATTGTTAAAAGTCTGGTCATGTGGGCTAGTTACAGAGTGATATATAAGGAACAATGAATATTCCTGTACCAGCTTACGTGTTGATGAAACTTCCCAAAGCTTATGTTGCTGCTAACTTTAACATAGCTGTTCTATTAGAGACAGTTACAGTCCTCTAAAGTCGAGGGAAAGACTGTCACTGAGTTTATCAGCAGGTAGATTGGACTGTACTTACATAGAAAACTTCATTATCCCAGGCTAATCAGCCTGGCACAATTCAGAATTAAGTTCTTATGAAGAATGATGGCAGAGAGCAATCACTGCATATGAGATAGTGTTTTGAAGGAACGCTTTTTATCATTCTATGAATTGCTTGAGGATGCTAATAATTTGATTAAATGCCACTATAAATAGCCCAATGAAAAACAATGGGATATACTGCAAGTAGCTAGCATACAATAATGGACCTGGGCTGACAGTACAAGAAAACAGTATCTATTTAAAGATTTTGCTCACAGTTAATAAATCTTTCATTCCTCCAGAGATTTATGTTGGGCATGTTTGGCTGACAACCATATTTTATATTGCCCCAGGAACTTTATTGACTAGTTGACTGTATTACAGTTTTGTTCTTCAGCAATATTGAGATTTTTAGTGTCATGGGTAAATAAACCTAAAAGCAAATTCATTATGAAAGGTTTAACTTCACTGCCTTTCTTAAAAGTTTTTTTTTGTTATTTTGAAAATATCTTAATGCCAAGAAAATCTTACTGTTACAGACCTTAGGCTTACAAATACTTATGACCAAAAATGCAAAGTTCAATTTGTTAATATGGAATTTAGAAGTATTATTCATTTTCTTTCTGTGGCATTCCTAGCCAATCACAGTTGTATATTAAAACTGTCTTGAGTGCTATTTCAGAGTGGGCATTTCATTAAAATGTGAGGTTGATAACTATTGGTTTTTCTAGTCCGAGAAAAATGTTGCGTATTGGCTATGCCACCAAAGGGCCTGCACCAGAGCAGCAAGAAATGGAGGAAAGCATTGAAGAGGAAGGAGCCAGAATCCAACATAGAATCATGCTGCTCTTTTCCAAGAAGATGGACTCTCTAGTTCCCTGCCCGCTTTCCTATGTACTCTCTGGTTTTTAGCAGAAGAGCTGGGTAACTCACTTCAAACAGGTAGAAATGGAAAGCCACTCTAGAAAAACCACAGCTTTTTTATTTGGAGTATCGTCTTGAAAGCTGTAGCTATTTCTCTTGCATAAAAGAACTATTAACGGTGTTGCATTGAAATCCGTTAAAAACCCCAAAGGTTTCAGAATGTGCACTGAAATACATTTTTTGTTTTGCTTCTGCTTCCCATTATTACTTTAGAATGACAAAAAAGATTCTGCGAGACATCTGTAAACAGCAGAAATTATACTTGACCCCATACTTAAATGATACGCTTTACTTGCATTATAAAGGTAAGATGTGGACATGACTTAAGATTTATCATTCTAAGTAATTTTTTAGCAGAGAATCTATTTTATGGCTCACTGAAATAAGGTATCTAATTCTTTTATATTAGAAAAATAATTTAATTTTATATATAATAATGAAATTATGAAACAAAATGACTGAATACGAAGGTAGAAAAGTGAACTGATTATAGACTTAATTCACTTTGTGAAGTCATTCAAAGCATCAATAGGAACCAAGGGACACTTCTTTTTTTTTCTCCCCAAAACAGTAGCCTTTGACAAATATCTTAAAATACTGGTCTAGGTTGCATTCAGAGGGAAATATATGTATTTCTTCTTAAATGTGTTTGTATAAAGGAGCTGTTTTCCAGCTTTGGGGACTTTTTTACTGCCAAATAAAAATGGTCAGGAAGGAAACGAACAGTAAAGGCTTGCTGCATGTTCTCAAATACTACTGAAAGGAAAAGAAGCTGCTAGACTGGACATCAATCATCCTCTTGTGATCTCTGAGCAGGTTCAGCTTAGTATAAGAATTGTTTTAAATAAGTAGGACATGCTAGATCTATGTTCTACCTTTGGCCTTGTTTTTGCTATTTTCTCAGTATGTATTATTTGAGCATCTAAAGGCCCGCACGAGATGCAGACCAGAAGAGATACCTCTATGTTTGTGCCCTTTATGGGTCAGATACTGGACCATTAACTCAGTGGAAGTATTGCAGTGACTTGAGTTGTTCCCACAGGCTGTTTCAGCAGCACTGGTTTCGTGAAATTTACTCGTGTAAATTTCTACTCTTGTTTTCAGCCAATGCAATTTAATTTTAAAACATCTTTTTCTGCAGGATTTGACCGCCTGGAAAATCTTGAAGAGTATACTGGATTGAAGTGTTTATGGCTGGAATGCAATGGCTTAACAAAAATCGAGAATTTGGAGGCTCTGACAGAGTTGCGTTGCCTCTACTTGCAACTCAATTTAATTAGCAGAATTGAAAACCTTGACTCCTTACAAAAGCTGGATTCCCTCAATATCAGTAACAACTACGTTAAGACCATTGAGAATCTCTGTAAGAACTGTTGATGCAAAATGTTTTAACCTCTAATGAGTCCATATTCCTAAGCTTTGACTAAGCTAAGCTATTATTAGTGGCACTAGTTTCAACAGTTTTTTTATTCATGTTAAAATTTTGCACAATACCGCATACCAAACTCCACAAGGATTCTACTGAAGAGTGAAACCTATATATTTTGCA